ACTAGCTGCCTCCCCTCTAGTCTTGTCAAACAAACAAACAATTATAAAGAAAATGAAAATAGCAATAATAATTATGAAGCACAAAAAAAAGAGAAGTTTATGTGTAGTTTAAAACCATTGTCTCCTAAAACTCACAATAATAATTAATTTATTCAAGACTAATAGATAAACCAAACTAAATTTAGCATCAATAACCACTAAAAAAAAAGATAAAATATCTGAGAGATAAGAAGGGAAGGGATAGCTCTAGTACTAAATAAATTTTTCTTGAAGAAAAGAGATTGAGTGTTTTTAATGTTGTTCTTAGTGAAATCCCAACAAAGTAAAACACTTGATGTCATTGTAAAAATATAGGAGAACACTTGATGTCATTAGAAAACAACAAAGTAAAACACTTTTTTCCAATGACATCAAGTGTCTTCCTATGTTTTCCATTGACATCCAACAAAGTAAAACACTTACATATGATGTCAATGGAAAACATAGGAAGACACTTGATGTCATTGGAAAATTTCTTATATTTCTTATATTTTTCCAATGACATCAAGTGTTTCAATATTTTTTGTTTTCCAGTGAAATGAAGTGTTTTGCTATGTTATTTTCTGTTGACATCAAACATTTTTTTGACTTAATTCTTTTCCTGAATGCAAACCAGTCTTTATCATTTTAAATATAAACTGTTTCCATCCAGATGTAAACTTTTCTTGATTTGTTTTATTTATGTGTTTGGGGGGGGTCTTTGTATAATGTACAGATTTTTTTAAAATATAATTTTGCTTTTAGTGAATTATTCTGTATTTGTTTTATTATATTTGAACCTATTTAAGTAACCTCTAGTTTTTCACCATCATCTACTTTCTTTTTTTTCTATAAATTTTATATGAATATATATATTTTATATATATAGCCCATCTGGGTGGGATAACAACAACAAAATTTCCATTTTATACGAAAACATCACGTCAGTTAGTCCCGATAGTCGATACTCAGATGTAATCATTAAGCCAATTATTCGAAAGGTGAGCTTTATGGCACTTTCTCTGTTTTGTGAATATTGAACATGAACCAGTAATTATTACAGCACAGCTAAGTGGTAATTTTTAATCCTTTATAAGTAACAAAAAATTGCATAATAAAAGTGTAAAGTAGTTCTTGAAATCTAGTTTCCTTCATTCTTATGTGATAACTACTTTTTTTAAAGGCATGGATACAGGTCTAGTGGAGTGATTTGAATTACTTGTGACTTTAGTAAGTGCTTGTCATTCTCCATTACTTGATGTTCACATCTGTAACTAGAGGATCACTCAGTCGAGCGCATACCTCCACCACGCAGCTTTGACCATATTCGTCTCTGAAAAAATACAAACATGTGTACATATGTCCATCAAGTTTCACCAAAATCTGATCATACTTGACTGAGTTATAGAGCAAAAATAGTGTGAAAAATAGGTCCCTACATTAACAGATAAGGATTTTTTTTTGTTCATGACCTTGCTATGACCATTACCCTTTAAAAAATAATCACTTCTAAGTTAGGTCATAGTCCAACTGTATACCAACTTTCATCCAAATCCATTAACTGTTTTTGAGAAATATTGCTGACAAACACACACACGGGTGTAAGCGTAGCCTCTGTCCACCTTGGGTGGGTGGGATAATAATCAGTGACTACCCTACGTCAAAATTAAAAGGGTGAGGGGTATGAAATGAGATAGGAACATCTCAAACCATTTCTCATTGTGCCTTAAAGGCATGACATTTTTCTCAATTTCATGAGTATTTTTTTTGATATTGTCAATTGTGAATAAATGAAAAAGGCATTTCAGTACATTAAACTGCCAGCCCTTATGCATACTTTCATTAAAACTGAAAATAAAATAACAACAATCATTTCCATATGCACAATAATTTGTTTGCATAAGATTAAAAAACAAATTCTACATGTTTCAGCAAACAAAGTGATTCATCATCTTCAGGAGACGAAGACACATTTACTGAATACATAAACAAACCTCATGATGATTGTGATTACCAATGAAATCTTTCATGCTAGATTGCTCATATATTAAAATTATAAGTTATTCATTATTTAAAATTACTAGCATGTATACTTAAGTCTAAGCCTACATTTTATGGCAAATGTAATAAGATACAGTTTTGTTAGCTTTAAAAATATAAATCCTAAAATACGTTTACTTTTAGGCTTGAAGATCTGAATTTATATTTCAAATATAATTTAATTTTTAAATACCTAAGGAAGATCTACATATCAATGAACAATGCCTTTCAAATATACCTGTGTTGATATGAAATGGAATTCCTAAGAGTATTGTTTGTTTTGACGAAAGAATATGAATAGTTTTACTGAAAGTTTTGCACCTGTAGAATATGGAAATTTTTAGTGTACTGTTAAGGTGGAAAATGTGCTAAAACAAAAGCTTAAAATATAATAATATATCATCCAAGCAAGTCCTATCTCTTAAGAATTAATTGTAAAACAGTATATAATTTTGTATTTGTCATTAGCCAATTCAACGAGAAATGGAAGTTACAACTGAAGATGATCAGACATTTCTAGTAAAACAGCAGGCTCTTCTTAGCCAACAAGTGCCAACCAGTGGTAGACCTGTAAGTCATCAATAATTAGAGCAATTTCATCATTTAAAAAAAGATAAGCAAAAAAAAATAATGTAACCTTTTGTGTGTTTTAAATCTAGTATTCATGAAATCTAGAAATCAATTTAGTGTAGACTCGTACAGAGTAATTGTAGAAGTGGAAGCTTAGTGTTATAAAAAAGAATTGTAAACGTTTACTGTTCATTTTATATTAAGTTGTAGAACCCCTTATAAAACTTTAACAACTGAAACCAACAGTTAAATGATGCACACAGCAAAGTTAATGGTGGTGATAGAGATTAATTCAAAGCTTTTGATCAATTGATTTTGTATTTTGATTTTATGTATGATAGTTCACTGTTTCATATCCAAAGTTTGCTGTTAATCAAACTGAAAATTATCAGTATAGGGAATATTTATTGTTTATGAAAATATTAGTATGTTCAAAATTCAATTTTACTACAGTTGCAACAAAAACTAAAGATAAGTAGACATTAACGTGTTGATGCTAGGATTGCTTTTCTTGCAGTTATATATCAAAGATTATTAATATAAATTTTGAAAAACTTTTTAAAGAATAGTATTTTACAGTTAAGTATTTTTTTGAAAGTGCCTTTTACTTTAATATTCTGTGAAAGGTGTCACTTTTTACACAGTGTGTTTTTCTAAAGATGCCTGCAGAAATGCTACTCACTTTTCCACAGAAGATAGCTAAAACCTTGCATCACTGTCAAAGAGTTTTTGCATGTGCGCCGAGTTTTAATGAAACTCTCACCCCTACATGTGTTAATGTGTACTCTGACAGACTATGATACTATCAACATTAGACTATACTCCTCCACCAATAGGAGGGCAACACATCCTCCACACACACAGTCAAAGAGTTTTTGCATGTGTGCCGAGTTTTAATGAAACTCTCACCCCTACATGTGTTAATGTGTACTCTGACAGACTATGATGCTATCAACATTAGACTATACTCCTCCACCAATAGGAGGGCAACACATCCTCCACACACACAGTACTCCAGTTGAGAACTTTGTGTATACCAAAATCTCATTCTTTTCATCAGCACTGCAGCATTCAAGTGAGTGTTCTTTTGACATTAAGAATTATGGAATTTTGGAGTGTTATCTCTCTTACCTTCATTTTCTTGATTCCAAGAAAGAAAGATACAAATTTTTTAATTGGTTTTAGTTAGAGTTTCTTACAGAAATTATCTTTTCATATATTACTTTGTTTTTTTTCTCTTAATATAAAAACGAAATTTTGGTCGCATGTTCCAGATTATGCGATATGGTTTCTTTGAAAGGAATATTCTTCAACATTAACTCAGTGTTCTGGTTTCAGCAGAAGCTGATAATTAATCTTGGTTTCTTCGGTATGAAAATGACCAAGGCCTAAGTACTATGGATATACCAGACTTACTGAAAAAAAAACACAGAAATAATGATATTAATAAATTAAATTTTACCATTGAATACAACACATATCCATATTTCTAAAGCTTCATGAGGTACGGACTTTCCTCCATAGAATATGTCTTTTTTTTTTTAACTGGTGACGAGCAGTGTTACTGCCATTGTACATCATATGATTTATTCTATCCTATATTCTTCATTTCGGACACAGGACGTATGACCTACTGCTTCTATAACTTCTGCTAAATCTGCCTTATCTTTAGATGACTTTGTCCAGATTATCCAAAACCTAACCTTTCTTTAGGTTCTTCTATCCATTGTTCTTCACTAATCTGATAACTAATGTTTGTGACATTTGTTCTCTCACACAGTTGTTTCTGCTGGTTCTCAGAAGAGCTTCTTACTGCACCTCAAACCTAAGATTTTTTTTCCCCTTTTCTCTCTCACCTGATTGCTGCATTATTGCAGATTTTTCTGTCTCTGCTTTATGTTAACTTGTTGCTACATCATCCCCAAACTTAAAATCTTTCTCTGTGGCTTGTGATTTTTCCAATTTCCTTGTCCTCCTATTACTTCTTCTCATGATCTGCTCATCTTTATCTTTTGCTTACTCACCTTCTTAGCTTGCTGTGTTCCTTACACTTTTCTTTCAAGCCTTTCTAATCAGTCATCCTCCTCTTTCTGGATTAGAACCTGTGTGTAATTCTCAAGGATCTTGCATGTCCTCTATTTGAACCTTTGGCCACCTGTTCCCTGTACCATCTTAAGAGTTATTTTCTTTTCCTAGCTTGCAGGAGAGGTTGCTCTGATATTTTTACCTTGGATGTCTCCTACACTCTTCTCCGCAAGAACAAGTTGATTTTAATCCCGGACCAATTTTTTCTCCCCAAGACTTGAGATACTTGGGAAGATGATTAAATATTTTATGAAATATCCCTCTATTACGTTTCTTCCCTGTACAGTTGCTCAGACTCTGGTAACTTCTTTTGTCCTCTTCAGGCAGTTTGTTGTTATTCATAGTTTTTTTTTTTCAAAGCAATCAACGTTATGTTTTTTAGCTGTGGGATTCCTCTTCATGATTTATCTCCTTCTATCTTGGCCAGTTAGGTAAACTCATCTGGCTTTTCTTTTCCTCTATAGGAGATAACTTTTTTTCTCTCTCTCTCTCTCTTCTTTTCATGTCACCCCCCATTAGGTTTGTAATCAAACTGTTTCACTTGCCTTTAGTTATCAACATCCTCTGAATGATATATTGCTGATGGGGTTGTTGCATTGAGTATTTAATAACATAAGTCTTAAGTGCATCTGCCCCCCTGGCTTGTACCCACTGGTTTTCCACAAGGCCACTTTGGTAATTTATATATTTTCCTTCCAAGTCCTACTGGCATAGCTTGGTGGTTAGGGGCACTCAACTTGCATTCTGTAGGTTGCAGGTTTCAAGTCCCTATCATAGATCATGTTCACATTTTCAGCTGTGGGGGCATTATAATGTGACGGTCAATCCCACTCTTCATTGGAAGAAGAGTAGCCCAAGAGCTGGTAGTGGATGTTGTTGACTAGCTGCCTTCTTTCTAGATTATATATCTGCTAAATTACGGACAGCTAGTACAGATAACCCCTGGGGTCACTTTGTGCAAAATTAAAAAATAAATAAACAAACAAACAAAGTCCTACTGTTACTTCCAAATAAGAACACAGCACTGGATGTAGTTCATTGCCCTTGCACCTGGCCAGCCTTTGCTGTCTCTACTCATGGTAATCCATTGCACAGTCTCTTAGTGTGGAACCTTATGCAAATGATAGATTATTTCTGTTCAGTCAACTCGCATTTTAGTGTTCTCCCCTACACAACTTTATCCCTCAATTTTCTTCTATTGAAATGAGGGGGCCCTTGTTTCCCCATTACCAAGCTGCTGTGGAGGTTGATATGGAGAGTCCCTCTTGACATTAGTGTAATTCCACTGGTATGAGACTAAGTGGATGCACCCCCCCTCTCGATCAGAAATAGGACAAGTGTGTCAACCAGGAAATGTAGTGCTACAGTAACATCTAAACTAATTCTGCTTGGGGTAATGGTTCGATAGGACTTGTATTCTCCTCAGGATGCAGGTATTGGGTGATTCATTCCTGCACCTGCTTATTCTGGAATGAATTTTTCACGTATAGTACTGCTTGATTTATTGCCCTAGCCACACTACACGTAGATGGTCTGCCAACCCCATGGGATCTACGTGTCAGTTAAGCAGCCTCTTACATTCTGCCCACCTTTGTGACACTTTAGCAATATGCAGAGGATCTTTTGACAGATACCTTTATTGTGTTGAGATGAGTTGGTATGTCACAGAGTGATGCTCCCACTAGATTTCCCACACCCACCTAATGGGTGCCACAATAAATTCTCCCTCTGAGTGGAGTTTATTTAGGTTCCTTCATCATCTTCTCAATATGGGATTCTAACTATGTCCTCTGGAGAGGTGAGTAGCATTTCTGAAGTTAACATTTGACTTGTATAAAAAATATATTTCAGCTAGATACTTACTTCTCCACAAATACCACCCACCCTTTCTCCCCCCTTCCATTGTGAGAAAGATAACACTTTGAATGTTAACTAAAATCTGAAAGTAATAAGCACAAAAATTCCATAATTCTTAATGAGAAAAAAAGAGAACACAACTGAGTATTGCAGATACACAAAGTGTTCAAGGGAAGTACTGTACATGGAGAATATGTTGCCCTTCTATTGGTGGAGAAATATAGTCTAATGCTGATTTCATCATAGAATGACAGAGTATATATTATTATGTGTAGGGGTAGGAGTTTCATTGAAAGGCTTGGTGCATACCCAAAAACTTCTTAGCACTGCCATCAAGTGTTAGCTATCTGTTCTATACAGAGATTAGCATCTATCTCTAATATATTTTCATGAAAAGAAAATTTTAACACTCCAATGTTAAATTTTTGTTGTTTTTTTTTTTCAAATAAGATATATTTTTTAAAGACGATGGAAGTATTATTTATTTGAGACATTATGTGAAATGCTTTGATATTTTCCCTTACGGTTTCTTTCACCGATTTAAGGTCACTTACCATTATGTAAGCGTTAATGCTAGATAGATGATAAAGGGAGCATTGAAACAATTCTTCAGATGTTCAGTTACTTTAATAAATTTTCATTCTTGGCTTTAACTTTAAAACTTGAGTTGAAAAGAAATTTGTACTTCTGTTGAAAACATCCACTATACTTCTACAGCCAGAGCCAGCTATTAGAAGCCCAGCAGGAGTACAGAAGACATCAGACAGAAGGTTATCTGGTTCTCCAATTGGGCAGGGTTCACCAAAAACGGCAAGTCAAATATTTTTGACTAAACTGAAAAAGAATGATATTTAAATGGAAAAAAGTGTTTATCTGCTGCGTGGTATTTTTTTTTTTTTTGGTAGGGGGGTATAATTTTGTTGTAATGCTGATATTGTGGTTTAAAAGCTGCTAAAACAATGTGTTTGGGATTTTGCAGTAGAATCCTTTATTTTGCGATGTCACACTCATTCATCTTTTAGTAGCAAGATTTGTGGCCTACTTCTCTCAAGCATGAACTTATTTTTCCTGATACACGATCAGGCAACATGGCACGCACTTTACAGCCATCCAATACCCAAAACCTATTTGCAGTATATATCCCAGATCTTGGGGCTTCTCTGACAAGTTGTCCTGATGAAGATATACAGTGGTATCTACAAAGCATGTAAAATAACCACTAGAAAACGTGGGTATATCCTTGGGATGTCTTATTTGCATAGCCGAGGCAAGTACATTTGTGTGGGGATATAGACAACAAGATAAGTATATCCTCTAGAATCTACTGTAAAATGCAAACATTCTGATGGACATCATACAGTAGGCCCTTTTGGTACAATGTTTTCTTCTTTTTGTTTTGAAATGAACACTTGTATTGAAAATGTATATTAGGGATTTGTGAATGTTATTTTTATATGTTACAAAATAAAATACTACCAAAATCAGGCTCTATATATTGGCACTGAGAGTTCTTAACTTTCAGATTATTAATTTTCAAAAATTCTAAGAATTTTGAATTTATAAATTTTTATTCTGAAAAGTATATTTGTCTCGAGTTGCTTTAGATTTTATTGACAAAAAAAACATGATTAACCATACTTTCAGTGTTAAATACAACAAAGTTGGCCATTTCTTAGTTAATCAAAATATATTTTGATCTATTTCATAATCAAACTGAGTAAATCACCTTTGGTTCCTATAACACACACTCACACACATAATGTCCAATAGAAATATACCTATACATAGAACAGTTTTGATATGCATTGACCAATATGTTACAGTACTAAGAACTCCTAGAAAAATAAGACGTTGCATACTTGGACAAAACATCCAGTTCCACATCGGTTACTAGTAAATAGTTTAGTGAGTTCCGCTACATTATAGCAAGACTAAGTTCCTGTTTATATTTTATTATCATTCTAGCTTGATGGAGCCAAAGCAGCTGCTGGAAATGAAGGAGTTTTACAAAACTTTTTTAACAGCCTACTGAGCAGAAAGACTGGGCCTGGATCAGGGTCACCTGTGTCACCTCGAACTTCAGGTAATTCTGAAAGTAGAGCTTCGTAACTAATATAAATGAACAGATACTATATCGTATTTTAAGTGACCTAAATACACCTGTAGCACTTACACTAAGTGTGTATGTACTATATGTATATATAAAATTAGTTTTAGTTTTAGAAATGAGGCATGGTGTCATTGATGTCAAAGTTTTCGTTTCAGAAAATGGGTATCTTAAATACCAATAATCAGGGATCACTCAGTCACATTTTGATTAGTGCAAAATAGTAAGTCATTAGACCAAACCATTTACCTGTTTTGTTTTGTTTTCTTGTGCAGCTTTTCAGATCTTGTTTTATTTTTAAGTGTTATACATAAATAAAAGTTCGATATTGGACTGATTCATTAGAAAACACTGTTGTAGAATGAGCATTTGTTGTATTTTATTTTAGTATAAGACATATTACTGTACAAAGTATAGTTTCTAGAATAACCTTGTAAATTGAGTAACAAAAATAAAGACATAGAAGTAGGAAACATGAATGGAATGATGATAATTCAGAAATACATAAATATTTAGTTGATAACTGATATCTTTGGACTTGTTACAGCAGTTTTTCATAGGCTCAAAAATGCTTGTTTCGTAACATTGATGATGAGGCTATCATTATTCTAAAAGAGTAGTTTCAAATAAATATTTGTTTTGTAAAATAGCTGCAAACAATAGCTACTTAAATCTTTCGACCCGTGGACCAACCTCATAACCATTTTGTGCTTGTTATAGTTTTCATGCTATAACTTTTAAATTAGTAAGTGAATGTTAACGAAATTTGGCAGTTTATCAGTAAACATTATAATGCTTTCATAGGCAAAATATCTAATTTTTGTATTAAGTATTAATGTTTTTAAAGCTATGTTTCTCTCGT